CTAAGTTCGTAACATTATACATTTATTTATAATTAAATTTTATTGTTTTATTTCCCTTTCAACTGTGTCTAACTGCTATTCGCGCCATTATAAGTTGTAAATCACTCGTGGAGCGTGCAGCTCACGTTATGCTATCGAATTACATTACCCACGAGCTGCTCACGTGTGTGCTTCATGAACAATTTTAATTATATTATAATTATTACTTATTTTACCTATTCTAGTCTTAAATAATTTAATAGGATCCATACTTTTAATTTTAGTTACTTTTATAATAATAAATAAAGAATAAATATGAAAAACAAGAAATAAAGTACTTACCCAATCTTCTTTTTATTTGCTCTCGATTGTCGAGGAAAGTTAAGCCTGATTTTTTTTTAGTGATTATGGTAAAGCACTAAACAGTTTTTATTTAATTAGATAATACACCAAATAATATAGACTAATAACATGCAAAACGTAGACAAATTCACTTACTTCTAAAAAGTTTTCTGGCTTTCTAACTATGCGACAAGAGCCGTTAGAAATTCATCCAAGCTAGTCATTAACTTTCCCACTATGCCATCTTGAGCAGTTTCCAAAAACCTTTCTCCCTTTTGAAAAGTTTATCTTAACTTGTTTGCCTATTTTTAATGCAGTGTTTCAATAAACATAGGAAGGTTGTTTTTATAAACAACTTCTAAATACAGTGAGGTTTCAACTGTAATGTTTATTGTTTATGTATTATTGGCTGGTAATTCCTGTTTCACCCTGTACTTAAGCTTTTTAAAGAAACACAAAATTTCTGAAAGAAACCTAGCTTCAAGGGTAATGATAACATCACTTACACTAGAATTATGATTTTTCTTTAATTACTAGTAGTTATTGATAATACTCATAAAACTATGTCACCTCAGTAAAATTGGTTGACACCATTGTTTAGTTTTCTGAGTCATTGTTTAATAAAAAAGAAGCAGAAGAAAAAATAACAAAAATATCAAACTTTTTGCTATGATATTTACAGACATTCCCAGAACCTGTGACTCAGTCATTACATAGATATTGTTATAAAGAGAAACACTGTATAGTATTGTAAAGTATTGTAAACAATCCAAGACATCCCTACATAGGCAGTGCTACTGTCTGCCTGATAGTTTTCAATTATCTGTTTTCATAGAATAAGAAACTTTTGTTACGAAGGTGATTAAATATCAGAAACACAGATTTAGACAGAAGAATAAATGTAAGAATAGTTAACTTTTTAATCTTGGTGAGACTTGATATTTTCAGAAGTGAAAAAAGTTAGGAAACCTTTCACTGTTATTTTGAGGAAAGTGATGGAGGTTCTGTTAGTTTTACTTTATTTAGACACTGTTTAATTTTGAATGGATAAAAACTTGGTAATTACCATAAAGTCATATTATGTTTTTAAAGATAGCGCAAGTTTAAATTGTTAGTATTTTAATAAAGATATGTTGAATCTCCTGCTGAAAGGTTTTACCATCATATTCAAGTTATGTAGGGTATTACATTAATTTTTTCACAACTGAGACATAAGCTATACTTAACTGATAAGTAGATTTATTTTCAGATATAATTAACAATTAGAATAAAATAGAAACTAAATATCTTCCCAGCACATAAACACAGACTGTCATTCCTTTATGTACATCTTGGCTAAATCATCAGTATAATTTTCTACATTTCATGTGATTGCAAAATACACTTCAAACAACTAATCAGTTTCTCTGTATGCTTAAAAAACATACAACTAGAGGGCTACTGATTATTTTTGTATTGAAGTGCAATTAGTGCATGCCTATAGTTATGACACTAACCCTTTATTAAAATACAAAGTCAGCTTGCACTTAACTATATGGGCACATTTTTATTTTCTTATAACTATAATGTAATGATAATTCATATTTTCTTTTATTTTAGTCTGTGTGGGAGACAAAATATGAAAAGACAGAGTTTAGTGGTAAGTCATGTGTTAAACATTTCAGGTTTTCTTTGTGGCATAAAAAGAAAAACGTGACTAATATTTTGATTAGTGGGTTTGACATCAAATTCAACATTAGTAGCTGATCATTTTATGAAGGACTTATTCTGACATAGAATGAATACCAGTAAGGTCTATGAAGTAATAGATATTAGATGCAGAAACTGAGTCTGCATTAATACCAAGTTAAGTTTGAAAGAATAATCACTGTAATAAATAATAAAATGAAAGATTATCATATGATAAAATATAACACTCAGAGGGCGTGGAATTATATTCAAAAATCATTTTAAATCATCATTTGTTATGATTGTTGTTATCCATAATCCCAGTAATGCCATATAAAATTGATCTGTCTTAGGAGATTTGGTAATACTTTAATTTATATGCTAAGTTTATATATATTTACCTAAGAGGTTATAAAGGTTATGCTTAGCATGTATTTAATCAATTTACTTGAATGAAATCAAAGAAACCATAAAAAAAGAGGAAAAAGATTAAGATATTCCAAGTATAAAACTTTTATGAACAAGGAATGCAATCCCCACTTATGTAATAAAAGCAAGTGGTCAAAAGAAGGTATAAAAATTTGGTTTAAAATTAGGCAATTAAGTGAATAATAAATGCAATAAATAAAAATAATTTAAATAATTAATTTTCAAACCCATGATTACAAAAAATATTTTTCTTAAATATAACCATCTCTTGCTTTTATATATGTCTGGTCTACTGAGATGTATTTAAAAATTAGAATGAAATAGAAACTAGTTTAGTTATCCAGCACATAATCACAAGCTGTTATTTCTTTACATATATACTGAGTGAATCATCAGTATAGTTTGCTATAATTTATGTAATTCCAAGATGCACTTCAAACAATTTAATTATTAGTTTCTCCATGTGCTTAATAAACAACATCTGTAAGTCTGCTCATAATTTTGATATTGAAGTACATGTATATATATATATAGTTATGACACTGGGCCCTTTATTAAAGCAAAAAGTCAGCTCACATCAGCACAATTTTGTTTTCAAATATCTGTGAGGCTAATACTAAAAATTTCTTTTGAAAATTTGTAATGACAAATCAAATCTTCACTCTGATGATTTTGAACATTAATTACTTGATATGACTTGTCTCACCTCACTGTTTACATTTTTGTAGGATGGCTCTATGGCTGTGTAGCTCTGTATTTTCTTGTAGTGTGCTCTCATCTTTTGTGAACTATTTCCTGATGTTCAAAGCTTCATTTATTTGAATTTTAATGAAATTACATGAACAATCACTAAAGTATATACTTTATCACTATTTTAATATTCTAGAATATTAAATTGAATTCAGTCTGAGAAAAATGTCTGTAACTTACAATTAGGATAAGAGAAATTCCATGCTTACAGTTGTGGTGAAGCAAGAAAATTGTCTTAGGATGTTGTAATATTTTATTGATTTCTCTTCATTTGTCAGTGTTTTCTCATTCTGTGTGATTATCAAGTTTTATAATCAGGTTTAATAATTACTGCTTTGAATTTTCTTGGATGAGACCTTGAACTGTGTTCATAATCAGATTTGTTTATAATGACCATTGAATTTCATTTGTTCACATGGCTTTCGTAATCTTGTAAGTTCTAAATTCTCTTATTTCCTTATATATTCATTGAATAATTATTATTTATATTTTTGGTTTTTGGGACAACTTTTTATTTTAAAAACATTAAATTCCGATATAATATTTTACCACTTACTGTCTTCTATATGCACAAATTTTCACTTAGCACTAGCAGGTATTTTATTTTCTGTGTTTTTCAAATAATTTTTTTTCCAATTTCAACTTGCATTTGGAGCTTCAAATAGTGTCAGGGCTTGCTTTTTCTGCTAAGGAAGTAATGGCTCTATTCAAAGTGATTTGGCTACCGTTATGTAGTCTTCTGAGTTGCCAGATGATTGTCCTCTACTATGTTGAGGGTATGCCTGAACTTGAGGATGTGTAATTTATTTGCCTGTTCTCTCCCCCTGCCTGTGCTTGACTGTTTCGAAGGAAAGTGCCAAGGCCTCTTTCTCCTTTGTTGACTTAATAATTCAGGAATGTTGTATTTTATTCTTTGATTCCTTATCTGCCTTTCTCATTGTCATGCTGTTGGGCTAGTATCTGGTGCTTCAACTCCCTCACTGGATATTGGGGCTCACACAAGTCATTTTAGAGACCATTGCAGCATTTTTACTCACTTATCTTTTTAGTTTTTTGACCTCCAGGACTTCAGTTATTTTTTCCCAGCCTTAGTTTTCCTGTTTTCCACCATGGCATCCCTCTCCTTGTTCACCCTTTCCCTGTTAATGTGGCTCTTCTGTTGTTGGGACCTTTTTTGAGGTTGGGACACCTTTTTGTCACAAGTACATGTGCCCCCTCTTCATTGTGTGATTTGGGTATGGCTCCTTTCTGTGCCAGGAGGTTTTGAGGGCATTCTCTTGATAATGTTGAGTCGGTATGATTGCATACCTTCCTTTACTCATTGGCCTCCCAATTGTTCCAACTCCCTACTGAACCTGTTCCCGTGTCTCACTCTCCTCCTTCCTCTCCTTTTGGGTTCAAGCTTCTCGTATTCCCTTCAGAGGGCAACTCATAGTCTCAGAGACTACGTAGTGGGCTTGGGTTCTGTTGGGGCGAGGCCCCTCCACTTAGCCCACATCTGGTGGTTTTTCTCCATGGACCCTTGGGTTTTGTGGGTTGTTTTAGAGGGGCTATTCCTCTATTTCGATTCTCCTTCTCCATTATTCCACCATCCTATTTCTGTTGCTTTTACTCAGGATCTACTTCACTGCTTGACTCTTTCAGTGAATCTGCTTGATAAGGGTGCTATCAATTGGGGGATTCCTCTTATCTTGGTTTTTATTCACACCCATTTGTTATCCCCAAGAAGGCCAGGTACTGGCACTCTGTCATATAGCTATTGGCTCTAAATCTCTTTGATGGTATTTCACTCCTGGTCTATGAAAGATGATGGTAGATGGTTTGGTGGTCTCGTTTTACTTTCTCATCTACCCTGCATCCTGACTTTACCTTCGTTTTGTCCATCAAGTCATTCAGATCTGTGCTCTTCTGTTCAGGCTTGCCTCGGCTCCCTATTGTTCTTGTTGGGTGGTCAGTGAGCTTGCCTGTCTTTGTTCTTCCCGGGACCTTTATTTTCACCATTATATGGATGACAGGGTACTTTGAGCTCCCTTGCAGGCCATCACTGTCTATCATACTCAGTTTCTCCTATGAGTAGCTGGTTGGGTTCGTTGGTTGGTTGGTGAGGTGGGGCGATCTTTCCTCACCTCTATACAAAACCTTGTTTGTCATGAAGTATTTTTCAATTCTCCTAGCATTCAGACCCAAACTTCTCCCCTTTGTTATCAGTTTGTGGAGCTACTGGTTCTCAACCTACCCCCCTCTCCTTTTCCCACTGTACTAGAGATTCTGTCTCTATTTTGGAGAAGTGAGCTTTTCTGGAAGCTCTCACCCTTCTTGGTTGTGTTTACACATATTACTTTCAGTGAGATTTGATGGATCAGTGGAGCCTTGAATGGCCCTCTCCTCTTCTTTGTAGACCAACTTCACCTGGTTATTGAATTGAGCCAACACCACTCTGGATGTTCCTTTTCCTCCTTCTCATCTGGAATGTCACCTCTTTACGTATGTCTCTCTTTGTGGTTGGGATTCCTATCCCATGCTTGGTGAGGTCTCAGGGTAGTGGAATCTATCCAAGTCCTCTCCTTATCAGTTGTTGGGTGCTCTTGGAAATTTTGTTGAGCATTGTTTCATTTTCTTCTGGTTCTTGAGGACAGATTGGTGATGGTTCCTTCTTTCATCTTGACTGTGGTCTGATACATCTCCAGGCAAGTGTGTTTTTGGTCGAGATATCTCAGTTTTCTGATACAGAGCTTTCTGTATTGGGCCAATGGCCATCATATTCTTTTGATGGCTTTTTATTTTCTGGGTGCCCTGTTTCTAGTCATGAATTGCTTTTTTTATCCTGACAAGGTTCTAACTATGGAATGGTCACTGGACCCACTGTTGTTTTAGTAACTCTTGATCCTTTGCCACACATTTCAGTCCCCAGTTCCCATGGTTTTGGTCTTCAGTTCCAATCTGTTGGCTGGGGTGGTAGGTACTCTCAGTCAGGATTTGATGGGCCTTTACCTGTAAGTGGTGTCACTTCCCATCCCTCTTTCCCCCACCCTTTTATGTCAGTCCTAGTCTGATGTGCATCACCTTTCTGTTCTCACCTTCCATCTTCATGCGAGACTTTGGTCTAGTTCCTAGCCAGATGGGTTGGCTTTTTACAGCACACGACATCCTTGTGTCTTTATCTCTTTCTTACCCATCCACCTCATCCTGCCTCTCTTCCTGAGTGGAACCTCAATTCAGACCTTCATGCCCTAATCCTTTCTCATAACCGTTGTCCATCTGTTTCTTTTGTCATCTCTCCTTCAAGGCCTTTTTTTCCTTCTCTTGTTGGCATTTGGGTATAGTCCATTGGACATGTTTGCTATTGATGTCCTCTGCACATTATCTCACTGTTCCTATGTTGTCCTTTTTCTGGACTGTTCTTTCTTGCCCAAGACTTTGGCTGCTTGGGAGTGTACTTCCACCTTCACATCCATCTCCCTTCCTTCCATATTCACCTTTATGACCACCTGAGTGTGATCACCTCCTCTGCCTGGTTAGGGATCTCTGCAGTTAATGTGGCATGCACTGATTCCTTCTATAGTTCCCGTTTGTCTATTCCTTTGTATTCCGTGTTCCATTTACTTTTGTCCTACTACCCTTTTGGGTTGGATCCACCAGCTTATTCTTCCCTCTGACCAGATATTTGTCATCTTTCCAATTCCTTGGCTGATCATTTCTGTCATCTGTTTGAGGACTTCATTTGTGCTGGTATGTGGGCCACCCCTATACATTCACTGGCTGTGTCCTGTGCTACAGGTTTTCATGTTTCTC